GAAACTACTAAAAAAAACTGAAGGAGGATACAAGGTATTCATTCTATAATTATTGTTAAATTAATAGTTTTGTGTAATATTTCTTGTTATTAGATGTGGATATAGAAACAAAATAGTCATTGTTAAATTAATGGTTTTGTATAATATATTTGTTATTAGGTGTGGTAATAGAAACAGGGTGGTTGCTCTATAATTATTGTTAAATTAATGGTTTTGTTTCCTTAGGACACAAGCAAAAGAAACAAGGTAAGTTGTTTCTATAATTATTGTTAAATTAATCTATTTCATAGATAATAGAAACAAGGTAGTTGTTCTATAATTATTGTTAAATTTGTTAAATTTGTATAAATCATTGTGCAAAATGCCACATAACAAAAGTACATAAAATTTATATATGGTTTAGGTTTTTGCAAATCTATGTGGAAAATCTCGTTTTTTTATCATTCTTTTATGATTTTTAGTTAATGCCAGTCAAAATTTTTTTTATTTTTTAATGACAATACAATCATTTTATTAGCATTAAATTTAACGTTAAATTAAATAATGTTAAAATTTTTTTTTATTTAAAATTTAGAATAGATGAAAAGTCTGTGTTCAGTTTATTACAAAAAACCTTGTCAATATTGACCTAAGAAAATACAAATAAGGAAATTGTTTGCATAAAAAACTACGAACCTTTCTTATATATGTGTATATTAGCTTTAGATTTACAAATATGTCCATTTTTGAATGAATTTAGTTGGGTGGAATTAAGAGCGATTATGATTGGGAAGTATTTAAAAAGGGAAAAGAAATGAGAATATCATGAGAATTTATGAAAATGATTATACTAAACAAACATTATTTTACAACTTCCCTCTTAACATCAGAGCCAAAATGCAATTTCAGGGCCATCAACGCCACTCTGAATTGTAACCTCTTACACTTGAGATTTTTTTGATATTCCTCCGGGGTTGCAACATCGTCACAGAGCCATCCTTACCCAGAGGTAGGATCGTTACAGTCAACTTTTCGGCTAGCATGCCAGCAACCTTCTCTGGTCTGGTGCTGTGAAGATTAGTGAAAACGTCCTTGACAATTGATGCAGTCTTGGTAAACTCCAGGGCAAAGCGACCTACCGGATTTCAACATCATCATATAATCGGATGCAAGTCATATTAGCCTTGTGTACATGAGGAAGACGTGAGAATGACTGTAAAGTGTTCAAGGCAGCATGAATGCTTCAATGTCTGCTAATTTCTGACAATCAAACATCGCATATCAAAATGTTTCTTCTGAAACAGTCAGTTGTGCTGCCTTGATATCTTGTAATTATAATATTATTACTAAAATCCTACCAAAAAATCCGTTGTCCGTTGAAACGCGATTTAAATATAAAATCCGTTGAAACGAGAATTTTTTAATTAATAAAATCAAGGGGTAAAACCAAAATCTGTTGAAACGAGGGTTCGACTAATACTAATTTTAAACGGAATAACGGGGCTGACTGTGTGGTTTGTGGCCTAGTACTAGGCCCTATAAATTATTTTTTTTGAAATAAATCGAATTTCAATTTTAATAATAATAATGATGATGACATAGCAAAAATCAGGAAACACGAAAATTTTGCATGCATATTCTACAGGATTTAGGCTACAAGCCATATACACCTATTATTTGTGTTTTTACATTATTGATTCTCTGAAATTTGCTGTAGTGTACCATTTGTTCTAATAAAATCTATTTGAATCTACTAAAATAAATAAACAAATGGACAAATTTATTATTTATCAAAAAAAGAAATCAAGAAACATTAAAGTATGGACTGAGATTGATGTATCAAAAAAATTTTTGCAACATTAAAAATCATTAAACTTTATACATTTAAAATAAATATTTTGAATATATTCTTTAAAAACAACACTGTTTAAATTGACTACTGCTTGTGTGATCAATTCAATCATTAACACCAAAGAAACAAAATTAATTATTTCGTAATAAAAGCTATTTGTTTGTTTATTTATTCGTCTCCGGACGTGACATAAACCGTCTCCATCCCTACTTACCAATATGCTAATACCTTGATTATTTTTTAAAGAATAATAAGATTCTGATATTTGCTGATACCCCATTACCCAATTTGGCATCATTTGACCAGTAAAAAGAGAACCAATAGATTATATACAAGCAAAGAAAGATGGGACTCTAAATTGGTACAAAAGAATTTTAAATCATGCACAAACACGATGGCTTGATTGACACAGTGGTGCAGTCTTGGTTTCCATGTAATTTTTTTATTGTATATTTTAAATATGATTAATCATATGTTTTTAACAAAACAAACATGACTTAGCTATTTAATCATTTCCTTGTATGTGAATGCCTCCATCCATCAAATATTTGCAATGGTCATGATTATTATGCAATACATTTGATATCATCATTGACATTACAAACAATTGCATCACCCAGGTAGTAATGATACCAAGGCCATGCATAAACAAAACTCTTAACAATGCCTGTCTACCCAGATCTCTGGGGTTCACAATAATAAATTACTTTTCTTGATTATCAATTATGGTTGCTCATGAATAATAAACCTGATGTTGATTGCAGGTGTCAGATTTAATTAAAATTTCCTATCACAAACAAGTCAACAGGTGCTTTCACACCGCCTCATAACCATGGAATTTTTTTTCCATGGGCAAGGTGAAAACATGTTGGAAGGCTTTGGACAAAACATTCCCTATCTTCCACTCAGACCAAGCTAGATGTTACCATATGGGCATTGATTGCTGATGGGAGTTGACATTTGTGTGATGATTGCTTTGTGTTATTGCCACACTAGAATAAAAGTTGGTGTCTGCAACTGGTTGAAAATTCTCCAACTCAGAAGTTGCAACCTGGATTGCTGTTTTGGATTTTCCCTGAATTCAGAGTTTTGAGTCCTGGGTTGCTGTAATTTTTTATGAAAAGAAAAAGTATTAATATTTAACAATTAATTATTTAAATGTTTATTTTGTTGAAAAAAAATATACATTGATAGTGTGCATTTTCTGTGCTTAACATCCATGTGACCCTAAGTCTGGACAAAAGATCTCTTTCTATGAGTTTGGCTGGTATATCTCAAAGGTGTCTCCTGTCTTGTTAGTGGCATGCCTACTCGCCAACAACCTACCCCCATTCAAAAAACAAATTCAGTTGGTCAAATAAAAATTAAAGAGAAGCAGAATATTTATGGGAACATTTAATTTATAACATAACATACCAAACAAAATCTGAACCATTTTTATAACTTTTTCCTTGTTGGCCATATTGTTGACAAAGATGTATATAATCATGCAATAATTTTAATCTATAGGACAGAATCCAGTCCCCTACCCAAAATTATTAAATTGGTTAGTATCAGAGAAACAGAGCATTTATGAAAATGATTATACAAAACAAACACTATTTTACAACTTTCCTCCTAACATCAGAATCCAAATGCAATTTCAGGGCCACCAACCCTGCTCTGAATTGCGACCTCCTGTGCTGGAAACGAGCTGCAGATTCTCTTAATATTCATCAGCAGAGTTGCGACTTGGTCACAGTGCCATCCTTGCCCTAGAGGCGGATCGTTGCAGGCAACTTTTCGACCAGCATACCAGCAGCCATCTCTGGTCTGGGAGGATTAGTGAAAACGTCATTGACGATTGATGCAGTCTTGGTAAACTCCAGGACATGTCCACCCCCCCCTGGAATTCAGTTGCATCATTGTATCATTGGGGGACACTAGTCAGATTAGCCTTTGTACATGAGGAAGATGTGAGAATGACTGTAGTGTTCAAGGTAGCGTGCGTGCTTCAACGCCTGCTATTTTCCTGTAATCAAACATCACATATTTGAATTGTTTCTTTTTCAACGGTGTGCTGCCTTGACATCTTGTAATTATAATATTAATAATAATATTATTGATTAATATTATTATTGATTACGAGAAGTAAAATATTATCAAAGAAAATCTTGTAATTACCCAGCAAGATCTGCTCCGCGTTTTGATTTCCGATTAAAATGTTTATAATAACCAAAAATATCAATACAAGTAAAAAATAGTACCTCTGGTTAGTTATTAACACATTTCTTTAGGGACTAAAACCAAACCAAACAACAACACTCACATTTTGTCACCTTGGGCTCTGTCAAAAAATAAATTGTTTTTTGTTTTTCCAAAATAAAAATCAATTCGCGTCTGTCCTACCAAAAAAAAAAAAAAAACCAATAGGATAAATAATTAGTGTGTACATGTCGATCAAATAACAAAACTTTTTTTTATCCTTTAAAAACAAAATGTCAGACAGATTTAAAAACACGAAAAAAAGAAACAAAAGCGATAAAGAAAAAAATATCACTGGGTAAGTGTTTTAAGAATAAGGATGGTGGTAGTGTTTATCGCCTGCCACTCGTCGTTACTTTAGTTATCATTTAAGAAATAAATGTTTTAGTTTACTAAGATTTCGACTTTTATCAGAACTATCACTACCAACAACGACCTAATTACCCAGCTTGAAACATGTATAAAAGAGAATAAAAGGCTTAGGATCGAAATTGAGGAGAAAAAAGTTGGAATGGTGGAATTATCAGAAAAAAGCTGTGAAGTAAAAAGTAATTTTTTAACCACTAAAGAAAAAATTGCAAATCTTGATTCGCAGATCACGAAGAAATATCAGGAATTGGAGATATTAAATGATAGAATCAAAAAAGATCGCAACGAACTGACTAGTCTCAAAGAGGCTGAAGAATCTATGGCTAGGGAATCGATCGTAATTGGGGAGAAAATTAAAAAAGAAAAAATGTTTATCAAAGATTTGAACACAGAATTTTTTAAAAATGAAAACACTCGTCACCGCCTACACAACGCCATTCAAGATATAAAAGGAAAAATTCGCGTTTTTTGCAGAGTTCGTCCACAAACTCCTGCTGAGAAAGATGTCCCTCTTATTGAGATCAAGTACCCAGGGGAATGTGAAAGCAAAAAAATCATGATTGGTTCTGTTGTGAAAGATTACCTAAACAAAAAGAAAAATATTTTCAAGGAATACAAATTTGATCATGTTTTCAAACCTGATAGCACTCAAGGACAAGTATACGCTGAGGTCGCTGCTGACGTTGTCCAATCGGTGGTCGATGGGTACAATTGTTGCATTTTTGCTTATGGTCAAACAGGTGCGGGGAAAACTTACACAATGCAAGGTTCTGATGATACTCCGGAAAGTGAGGGTATGATCACAAGAGCGTTCACACACATCTTTGGCCTCATCAACAAATTGAATTTTCAGGGGTGGAATTATACTATCGAAGGTCAATTCATCGAAATATATAATGATCAAATCTATGATTTGCTTATCTCACATGGAGAATCCAAAGATGTGAAGATAACACATGACATTGAAGAGGGTTCAACAAGGATTGCTAATGTGAAAACAGGTAAAAAAGAAAGAAGAGTCATTTAAAATAATGATGATGGTGATGATGATAAATAATTTTATTATTATTATTATTTAGTGAACCTTGAATCACCAGATTGTGTTAATCAAGTACTTAGATTCGCAACAAAGAACCGAACTGTTGCTTCTACAAAAATGAACGATAATTCTTCAAGAAGTCACAGCATATTTATGATTCATATCAAAGGTTCTAATTCTGTTACAAATGAGAAACTATCGGGTTCCTTGAACCTTATTGACCTGGCAGGTTCAGAGAAAATATCAGCTTACGAATCAACTGGAGATCTTCAAGTTGAAACGATAAATATTAACAAGAGTCTCAGCAGTCTAAAAACAGTTATACAAAACATAAAGGAAAATGCGAGCCATATCAATTACCGTGACTCCACCTTGACCTATGTTTTGAAGAATTCATTAGGTGAACCATTATTGTTATGTTGTATATGGATTTTTTTTAAACTTGTTTTTATTTATATCAATAATAATAATAATAATATATAAATATATGTATGTGTATATATGTATATTATACATATGTAGGTGGAAATTCCAAGGTGTTGGTGTTAGTTAATATTTCCCCGGTAAGATCATCTCAAGCGGATACTGAAAACAGTTTAGAATTTGGGCTTATTGCAAAAGCAGCTCACATCGGCATCGCAAAAAAAGGTTAAAACTTAATAATAACAATAATATTATTGTATTATTGCATCTCAAGTTTCTATTTAATTTCTAACATTATTAAAAAAAGTAAAATTAAAAGATAGATATATATTACTAGCATTAATATTGCATCATTATTAATTTCTTTTTATTTGTATTAAAATTTAAATTTAATCTATATTTTCTTTATTTGAGCGTCGAAGGAAAAACTATTTACAATATTATATAATAATCATAATCATAATCATAATAATTATAATTACTATCACTATTACGGTAAAGAAATCATTCTTTTAAAAAATAATTACATAAAAAAAGAACAATAATTAAAAAATTTACAAATATTCTTCAACTTTTGTTATAAATAATTAAATCTTATTGTAATCTTGATCGATTATCATATTTATAACTATTTCCTGGGTAAGTTGGATTTGGAGATGAATGACGAGTTTGGTGAATGAATTAAACATGACGGATAAGATGATTGATGCAGTTGATTTGAAGGTTGATGTGTTTGGTATGATTGACATAATGATGTAAATGAGTTTCATATAAGGTTTCCGGTCAAAACTGTTTTCTCAAAGCCCAAACTAGTTTGGGCAATTTGGGCTTCTCAATATTTTTTATAAACATGAACATTAAAAAACTATACCAATCAACTTATTTTAACTTAAACAACTTTAAAGTAATTTCACCCAATTTCGGCTAATAACAAAAAATAGTTTGGGCTTATAAAAAAGTAATTTTTGCCCAAAGTGTTTCAGCAATTTCGGCTACTAATAAAGAGAGTTTCAGCTGGAAATCTTAATTTAAATTCCTTCATTTAAATTTAATTGAGAATTAAAGTTTAGAATGCTAGAATATTTACTTCTCTGTTATTTGAGATATTTTCCCATGAGCTAATTATTTTATTAGTGATTAAATAGCAAGATATTGCAGTAATCAGGCATCCACCAGAAAAGGTCACTGGTATCACCAAGCCTATTTTGTTAAAAAATTATATTAATAAACATTTTACATTAAAGTTTTCAATCCATCATGATTAATTTTTTCCAATCTCTGTATTCAATCAAAGCACTTTTTTTTTGAGAAAAACCAAATCTCAGGATGTTCAAGTTTTCCAAGGAGCTTGCACTACTCAAGCTTAGCCTCAGCAAATATGTTCTCATCAATAGAGATGATTATATAGGTAAGGTCAAACCCTTTGTTTTATGAACAGCCAATGAGAAGGCATTTTGGAGCAGGAATTGTATAAACTTTATTAATTAACTAAGAAAGTATTTTCACCACTCATTATTGTAACATGTGTACAACAAATGTATAATTAACATTTTGTCTTGACTTGTCTTGATGATAGTTGAGTTCCTTCTCCTTATTGTTATCCAATGTTTTGACAACATGATCAAAGGAAGCAATGAAAAATTCCATCACCTAAACTTTAATTATTTAAAAAATGTATTTTTAATATAATAAATAGGATAATACTTGTCTTGCATAATCTTAATGCCAGTTGTATTAGCATGATGGAAGTTCTATTTGTCACGTTTATCACTTTGTGACGATCTCAAATTTATGTTGTGTGACTATAATTTTAAAGTACCTCAGTATAATAAAAATAAGTTTTACAATTATAACTATATGAATATTCCACTGCGGGAGCTACTGGCAGGCTTCTTAAAAAGGAAAAACGAACTTATGTGCAAACAAAATCATCAAGAATTAAGAAGGGCCACCATCAAATGTATCTCGTCTAAAATTTTGGTCCTTGATGGTGTTTTTAGGAATGGGCTTGATGATGATGCTATTGGACGCCACAGCCAAATTACATTCGAAGCATCAAAACCTCTCCAATTGCTAGTAATACACATCACTATCGAATCTTGAAACTTTGGAAGTGGGTGTCGCTAAACAATCTCTATTTCATTTGAAAGGTTATTTATTACTGATGAAGGTTACGTACAGCAAGTCTTCCGTGCGATTACCATTCTTAATCATCATTACACAATATCTATCTCTTCAAGCAAATCTGAAGTCAACAGAGTTCGGGACAGTTACTTGCTAACTTCTAAATAGTTAATTGAGTGTCAAAAGGGGATTTTTGGATGTAATGCACGGGCTTACTGGTCCCAAATGTTCAACAGTATATGCTGGAAGCAGGAAATTCAGAAATATCAAGAAATGATTTGTTAATAATTATTAAATATATTAATGAATTGTTGATCTATTCAATCAACGATGTATTATAATAATTTTCTTTAGTTATTTTATTATTAAAGATTTTTTTCCGAATAATATTTTTATTTGTAGAGACTGTTGGCTGTGTTTTTTTTAATTAAAATTAAAATTAAATTAAAATATATAGTAAAATTAAAAAGATATGTACTGTGCATTAATAAGAATATAATGAATGAATAAATGAATGAATGATGATGATGATAATAAAAATAAAAATAAATTATCGTTATTATTACGTATTTGCAAAAATTAAATACATTGAAAATTAAATTTATCAGTGAATGAGTGAGTGAGTGAGTGAGTGATGTCAATAATGTTGATAATAAAAGAGTGTGTTTGTAAATAAAGCAATTAATGATTGATACATTTTACAATTATCGTGATTAATCCTATAAATAAATGTACATAACCGACTGATTAGATAATATTATTACAATATTACAGTTTTTATTTGTAAAATCAATATAAAAATTACTAACCAAAAATACTATATATATTAGTACATGTAACCACTGCCATTATTACTGCTACCAATACTTACTCTTCTTCCACTACTACTGCGGCTATTTATTCTGTATCCTCTTTGTCGTTTACTGCCACGTTTTTTCACCGTGACCCACTCATCACTACCATTAACAGCATTTCCATTAATGGCATCATGTGCGGTAGGAATATCGAGATCTGGGAAAAAATCATTGGATTCACATGGTGATTCAGGTGGTGAAAATGGCGCAATTATATGTTTTATATTAGCCATCTCATTCAACATTGGTGTGAAGTTGTCTTGTTCCTTTTGTCCTTCTCCTAATTTTAATGCTATCACCTCTGATCGTAAACGCGACATTTCTTCTTTCATTAATTCATACTCATTTTCTATTATTATCATTATTATTATTTATTATAATAACATATTAGCATGTAAATATGTATATATGCGTGTGCACAAATTTGCATATACTTTTAATTACCTTGAACTTTTGATCGTTCAATTTGTTTCTTTAATTTTGAATTTTCATTCTCAAGTTGATCTATTCTTGCTTTTTCTTGAACTAAAAATTAAAAACAATCATTAATAAATACATCTGACTAACATATGCAGAAGATAAATATATTTATTACCTTGTGAGCTTGTTAAGTTTTGAACTTGATTATTCAATTGTTTGATTGTTTTGCTGTTTGATTTTTTTTCTTTTTCATGTGCTGATTTAATCTTGCTTAATTGCTCTTGTTTTTCTTCAATTTCCGAACCAATTCTATCCTTTTCTGATTTTATATCTTCTTGATAAATCTGTATTATAAAAGATGTCAATCCATCTCTATACCCCATCATTTCAACATACGCTTCAATTTCTGATTTGGCTGCTTCCAACTCTGCTGTCGTTATCTTTAACTTGTTATTTGATACAATAAGATCTGCTTTTGCTGTGTTTAATAGAGATTTTATTGATGATAAATCGGCTTTTGCCCATTCAAGTTTTGATTTTGTAAAGGAAAGTTGTGCTTTTGTTGAATCAAGCTGTGATTTGAAAAAGGAAAGTTGAGCCATGGAGGACTCCAGTTCGTCTGCATGTTCTTCCTTGGCGGCGTGGAGCTCTGCAGAATATTTTGCCTTTATAACACCTAATTCTGCCATACTTTTCGCTTTGGTTGCTTCTATTTCTGCCGTGCACATTTCTTGCGCTGCTTCTATTTCTTCATTAAATTTCGATTGTACATTTTCAAGTTCGGTCTGTTTATTCTGTAGATCATGTTGAATTGTCGCTAGCTCTTTTTTCATTTGTTGTAATTGATTTGTATGTGATGCTATTAGTTTTTCTCGATCTGCCGATTGCTCTTCTAATTCCAATAACGCCAAGTCTCTTTCTTCTGTTGTCGCAGTTAGATCTGATTTGACTGTTTGTAATTCATGTGCACACTCCAACAATGAAAAGTTTAACTCGCTAATTTCTTTCTCGCGCACTCTTAACTCTGATTTTATTTTATCCAATTCATTTATTAAATTATTCTTTTCTTTTTTGGCTTTTTCCAGCGTCTCTGTCAACTTTATTGTTTTCTGATCTCGTTCAATGAGCAAATTTTCGAGATTGGTGATTTCTTGACCGTTATCTTGTAAATTTTTTTGTGCTTCTTCTAATTCTGTGAGAGCTTTATCTTTTTGAGACTCCAGGCCTTTTATTTTTTTTTCCAAGGTTTCCAGTGTAGCTTCCCGTTGTTGTATCTCCTCTTTTAAATCATGAATAGATGAAGGTTCAACAACAGAGGCTCGTATCTCACTGGTATGCGTGTTTCGGTAATGACTAGCCCTTTGCTTTTTTTTTGTTAGGTAGGTTTTTAACGTTGAGGTTATATCCCTACTCTGGCGATTATGATTATCTTGTTTAGGGTTGGTGGTGGCGGTGTTGTTGTTTGTTGATGTTAACGGTGATGAATGTGATGATGGTTGTGGGATGTTCGATAAGTTTTCTTCATCATGTGAACGAAAAAAAGCAAAACTATGTCTAATACTCTGTCGACCTCCAGGGTTTCGATTTTTAAGTTGTAAGAACTTCAGTGATTTCATTCTACTATCATGAATAAAGTATTAATTTTATTCAGAAATAATAAATAAATAAATAAATAAATGAATTTTTTTTGGTGAAAATCAATTTATTTATTTACAGTTTTTATTATTTTTTTTGTACATATCATTATAATAATTCTAAATTGAATATTGATTATTATATTATATTTCGTCGATGTTGTGCACGGAGGTACTTTATTCATTACATGCA